TTGCAAATTCTTTCCTCTTCCCTGGCAGCTTTTCCTAGAATAGTCTACAGCAGCTTCAGGTAGGTTCATCTCTTAAAGAGGTCAGATACTGCATTTAGCGTCTCCTATCTGTGCTTAAGAGTTACATTCCCATACAAAAGACTATTCCAAAGCTAGAGTTTAATCAAACTGAAAGAGCAAAAAAACATGGCTTGCAGAAGCCCATTGCTGCGTAGTCCTTTTAGTGCATATGCAACTTTTGCTGCTGCAGCCAGAGCTATCTATTTGCTTTTGACCCCTTTATCAGGCCTTCAGTCCAGTGGGATAGGACACAGGTAAATCTATCCCCAACATATCTCTGTGAATGTTATATGTCTACTTCCAGCAATGATGGAGAAGTATGTTATATGGTCCCTCCCAGAAGATCTGAGCACATGTTCTTTGTAGCATTCCAAATTCAAATTCCTGCTAGCCTCAGAAGACTAACTGACACAGTGTTGTTGTATTTGGTAAATGTTTCTTAAAATAAAAAAAAATGCTATGTTCATTCAAATTTAAAAACAAACATAAAGCCTTTAAATCATCCACACACCTTTTTAACATTAAGGTGTACAATAGATGTGATCTAATCTCTAATTTTATACACTGCTTATCACTATGGCAATTTCTTACCCTCAAAATGTGAGGCCTGTTCTTTCAGAAGTGCTGATCATTTGCACCACTGAAAATAAACCCCGTAACATCTAAACTTCAACTAAATTATTGTCCTTTTAACTGTTGAACATTTAAATGTACTTGTGTTTCCATAGGTGAAGACTCTTGGAGAAAGAGTGGTTCTGTATGTTTTGAATCGAATTATTTATCGCAAACAAGAAATAGAGCGAAATGAGATCCCCTTCCTCTGTCACAGTAGCAGTGACTATGCTAAGATTCTGTGGAAAAAAGGAGAGGCCATTGGGTTCTATTCTGTTAAACCAGCAGGTAAAAACATTTAAGTATTTTTTTTAATAAAGCAATGGAAAACCAAACTCCTTTATCAGACCTTTTAAACTGCACTAATGGTATGATTGATACGTGCATCTCTTTCTGAATTCTTAAGAGCAGGCAAGGTTCTAGGCAAATTTTTCAAAAGTGACTTTAGGGTCCTAAATCACTCTGGCTTTTTTTAAAAAAAATTGCCCGTAGTCTTTGCAGTAGCTGTTATGGGTACTAGACTATGCCCACGACTTCAGGTTTCAAAATTTTTGCTTCATTTACATACTCCTCCATCAGCCATGCTTGTCAGCGTTGCCCACCAAAACCCCACATTGTGGTAAGGTACAGTCTCTGCTGCTTGTTCCCCAGTTGTACCTGAGAAATGTGGAAACTTTAAGTAGAACCTAACAGAAAAGGCTTTGAGGCTGCAGTAGAACCAGGCCCGGGGACTTCTCCCAGACTTCAGCCTGTCTCAGTAAAGTGAATGCTTCATGTCCCGGGGTCTGACCTCAGGAGTGTGAGAGTCTACTCTCAAAAATTTCTCAGTGGGATCTTTTCACAAAGATACGGAATATTTTCATAAATATAAAAGTAAATCTTTCAAATCCACTTAGAAGAAGTTGAATAGAACCCTGCCTAAATTGAACAAGTCTTCTAGCTCAATTCAGGAGAACTTAGAACATCCTAAGTTTCAAAGACTTAACAAGAAAGCCCATAAATCTAGGATTCTGTTGGTATCAGAGCACAATTTGGCAACATTAGTGTACCGTCCATTGTCAGCTGATCTCGAAGCGTGACTTCAAACAGTGTACTCACCAAACTGGGAGTCCATGAACACCATAGTAACTGTTGCCATGAAAATATTATAATTTCTGCTATGGTGGAAGACTCCATACCAAGAATGCATGCATTCCTTTCTCCTCACTGGACAGCATCATCATTACAGATACTTCGATAAGTTAGGGAACATGTATTGGCAAGCACACAGCACAAGGCACTCTATCTCAAGAGTTCAATCAGAAATCTCCTAAGCTGTCTGTCACTGTAGTGGAACGTGTTTGGGATCAAACTATGAACAGTATGTCAGGCTGTATTTTGCTCTCTCCACCTCAGTCATGGGGTAATGGCTCATTCCACAAGAAGACACGTGACTTCTATGGCATAGTTTCAGGAAGTACCTCAACTTGATATTTGCAAGAAGCCTACATGGCATTTTTGAGGTGTTTTGTTTAGTACAAGACTCCTTTGCTGATATATGCTTTGGAATTGTAGTCCTTTGTACTTCTCTGCCATCTGTACCCTCTCACCCTCCTACTTGAGTACTGTTTGCACTCACCCACATTAGAATACACATAGGGACCAGTACTCAAAGTAAAAGAGAAAGCTACTTATCTTGGTAATTGGAGGTAATTCAAGATACATGGCCCTGATCTGTATTCCACTACCTGCCCTTCTTCTCTGCTGCTTCGAATCATCTTTTGATTTTCTACTAAAGAAGGAACCCAAGAGGCAGTCAGTCTGCCCCACTCCAGTCTCTTTAGTTGGAGACATGTGAAGAGTGAGGGCACATGAGCAGACTGACAGGCTCTGCTTTTAGAATTCTGCAGCTCTGGGTGCATGGAGCGCACACACAGTGAAATACACATAGGGACCACATGCATTGAAAAACCTCCAGTTACATGGGTAAGTAGTTTCTTCTTGTACCCCATCATTCAAGACAGAAATCTTGTCCAGTGTTCTACCCTTTTAACACTGAAGATGTAAAGTAGTGCTGCATAAAGATACATTAAGAGTCATGTGGGAGAATTTGTTGTGCATTGCTTAATACATTTTGGTCATGATCATACCAGTTTGGTGAGGATTAAATTCACCCAGGCAGTGGAAGTTACAAACATTAATACTGCATCGTGCATGTGTACAGTCTGATCCTTCAATCCCCTTGTGTGCAGAACTCCAGTTGATCTCAAAGTGGGTTCAGGGTTAGGTCTCGTTATTGCTGTTCTTTGTGTGAATTGTGCTAGTGCCTAGGACCCCAGTCACAGATCATGACCTTGTTGTGCGAGGTGCTGTACAAACAAAAATGATTGGCCCAAAGAGCTTACATTTAACTAGCATGTTTCAATGTCATTAACATTGCTCATAGATTGTTCTCTCATATTTTTTCATTGCTTAAATATACATTATAAATTCCCTATGATTGTTATAAAACTTGATTGCATTTTTCACTTTTGCTGAATTAAATCTAACTTATTTGTAGATAATTTGTTGATCACAATGATGGCCCTCTTTAATAATAATACTACTAATAAATAAAAATATCTAATTTTGGACCAGAGTGATATGATATGACATCCTAACTTTATCCTACTCTCAATAGTAGGTTTTTGGATTAACTTTAGGGAAATTTGTGGTGAATTGCTACTATTGTACAGCAAAGTGTACCAAAAGCATTTTATGCCTTCCTCTGAAGCATTTGGCTTTGTCCACTCTTAGAAATATGATATTGGGCCACAGGGGCCATAGATCTGTTCCAGTACAATTCCTCTGGGGAAGGTAATTGGCAGACGGTATGACTTTGTTCTGTTTATCAATATTGTGCCTTTGTGAACATAGCTACGAAACTGCCCTGGTTTTCACGTGTCTTAATAGAGCAATTTTCAAGCTAAAATTAAGCCAACACAAAAATGACGTCTGGGTTGAAATGTTAATTCTTTATTCTAGTTTCTATTACAACTGATTGTATTGAATTCCGAGGGAGGGTGTTTATATTAAATGGTTGTTCTATATGCTTTGTGGCAATTAGATCATGCAAGTACACTTACTTTTCGTGTTCTACCATTTACTGATCCTGAGCTAATAAACATTCAAGACAATTTGCATATGAAATAATGTTATACTTCATATTTTTATTCTCTTTCTGTGGAGATAAACTGAGATGTAATTTAGTAGTCAGAGCATAGGCATGGGATTTACTCCTGTTTTTCTAATGTCCTCTCTGATGTGGACCCACTGCATAATGTTAGACAAATGACTGACTGTAATCTCTCTTGCCTGAGTGTTTTTTTTTTTCTTTTTTGTAAGGACTAATTAGTTGATGTTTGTGGTGAGTGATAAATATGAGATGTGTTGTGTGGGTTTTTTTATTGTGAACTCTTTGGGGGTATTTCTACACTACAAAGTTAGTTTGAACTAACGGACATTAGTTCGAACTAACTTTCATAGGCGCTACACTAGCGCTACGTTAGTTCGAACTTAATTCGAACTAACGGAGCACTTAGTTCGAACTAGGTAAACCTCATTTTACGAGGATTAAGCCTAGTTCGAACTAGCTAGTTCGAATTAAGGGCTGTGTAGACCCTTAATTCGAACTAGTGGGAGGCTAGCCCTTCCCAGCTTGCCCTGGTGGCCACTCTGGCCAACACCAGGCAAACTCTTTTGCCCCCCTCCCGGCCCCGGAGCCCTTAAAGGGCCACGGGCTGGCTACCCAGTTTGTGCCAGTTGCAAGGCTGCCAGCACCCAGCCAGCAGACCCTGCACCTGGCCCACCATGAGCCAGCCAACCGATGCGCCCCTGCCACAACATGACCCAGCCACCCGAGGACACCCAGCCCTCCACTGCTCCCCAGGACCAGCCTGGCGGCTCCCAGGAGCCTGCCCGGGGACGCAAGAGGCGGGCACCCGCTTGGTCAAGTGCGGAGATCGTGGACCTCATCGAGGTTTGGGGGGAAGCCTCCAATGTCCACGATGTCCACAATAGCCAACAGGACGCG